CCTGTGATCTACCATGGATACACCCCCGTCTCCCCTTTCCTTGACCTCGGCGGCTATTGCAGCCACCAACTTCCACCTAATCCTAGATATGGTGGTGCCCAAGCATCCAGCAGCGCTTCCGCAACTTGCGAATGAACAGCTGAAGCATTCTGACACTGTAGCCATTATAAACAGCTTGATTGGACTTGCCCACAGCCTGTGTCCACCCGGTACCGGTCGTGTCGGCCTGTCCGCTGCATGTTCCGAATGAGTCCGGAGAAATTCCCGTCGGCCTTGGGACGCTGCTGCAAAATTGGACTTTGGGTTTTTACTTTTCTTGTCGGAACCTGCGGACCTCTACCGACCTTCGACCCTTCAGTACCCAACTTCTACCGACCTACGACGTTTCGACCTGCAGACCCTGTGGACCTAGGGACTTCCTGGACCCGAACCATTTCGGACTCTGGGACTGGGACTGGGACTCGTGTGCAGTGTGAAGTCCTTTCAATAATAGCAGAGAAGATATTTGTTGCGCTGAGAGACCGCGGCTGTGTGCAGTGTGACACAAATATCTTCCATCCGCATTGCACTCGCTCTCTGCATACAGCAAAAACAAGTGTCGCAGAAGGCCCAAGACCAGAAGCCCCCAGTCCCCAACCCCTATGTCCAGAGCCATTTAGGACTTCTATGATGCAGAGACACAGCAGCACCAACATCGTAAACTGGAGGTCGAGGTTCCGGCAGCTGGTAGGTGTTTCTTTTTTCAGGCTACATCAGAGGTAAGAAAGAGTGAAAAGCGAAGGACAGGTGCTTTTTTTTTTTTTTTTTACGAGGGCTCTTACGAAGTGTATTGGAGTAGTGTGGAAGAATGAAAAAGGGAGAGACATCACTGAACATAATCAAGACATTCCTGAACATAGTCAATTCTTCAAAAGAGTTACTTGGCAAAGGGAGGGACAATTTCTTTTCTTTTTTTTTCTTTTTTTTTTGTCTTTTTGTTTTGGGGGTTGGGGGGGGGCGGTCATCGATTTCCCCGGGTCTTTTCAACCCACCTCCCCAACGACAAATCACACCACCCAGGACCATCACCCATCACCATTTTGCCAGGCCAACGAAAAAAAACAGCAATTGGAGTAGTGTGGAAGAATGAAAAAGGGAGAGACATCACTGAACATAATCAAGACATTCCTGAACATAGTCAATTCTTCAAAAGAGTTACTTGNGGGGGGGGGGGGGGGGGGGGGCGGCATCCAGGAAAGTGATTGGTGACCAACGTAATTTACCATGCAAGAAGAAAAAAAGAGAAGACAAAGAGCAATATGCAATAAGATGAAACAAGACTCTTGTTTGAATTGAGATATTACCTGATATCCTGTCAGACCAGCGCACTCTAGTATCCGGATGCATGCTGCCTTGTCGTCAGGACTGCAAAACCACAAGTCAACAGGGCTGATTCAGCCAGATTCTTCTTGTTTTATTACAAGTAAGAGAGATGGGCTTTGACATATATCACCTTGGAATTGACCTGAGGCCAGGACCTAGGTAAATTCAGAGTTATTTAAAGTTATTTTACTCATTTGATTCCATTGGGATTCTACCTCAGCTCTGTATTTCACTAGTTCATAGGATTCCGCCGGATTCATAATCTGAAATGACCTGCACACATCGCTGTCTGAGATTCCTGCAATTTGTGAGAAAAATCCAGTCCTTTTGGTCTGTTTTCTAAAAATTACGAGCCTGAGTTTGTTTACGAGCTTAAGTTTGTTCTGCTGCGATTTGCTGTGTTTTCTACATGTGTCTGCGATCGGCCACTAACGTGTATGTGCAATGTGCCTGCTGGAGTCCAAGTCTGGGTACATGTGGTAACTCTTTAAATTGTCCATGTGTGTGTGGCAGTGACTCAGACAGGGACAAGGTCATAATAGGACACGGCCAGGGGCAAGAACAAAAGTTAGCGGCAGGACATATCGGGGGTAGTGTAACACTCAAGGACACAAGTAAAAATCGATAGGGATCCGATAGGGGTAATAATAGGACACAGCCAGGGGCAACAACGAAAGTTAGCGGTAAGACATATCGGGGGTAGTGTAACATTCAAGGACACAAGTAAAATTTGATAGGGATTCGGGATTTTCCCGCAAGTCGGCTGGGCCTGGAAGATGCAAAAGGTCAAAGGAGGGCTCTTTATAAGGCTGGCAGCGTGGCAGTAAGAGGGAGGGGTAGTACATTGGTTCTGACCTACCGTCTTCACCCGAATAGAACGCCTGGTAATTATCGCCGTATCTGGGCTGAAAGTTGTGCCAAATACAGCTATATAATGACCGGGCGTTCTATTCAGGTGAAGAGGGTAGTCCTTCAAAGGAGGGCTCTTTATAAGGCTGAGAGTAAAGGGGGAGTACTCGGACATTGGTTCTGGATCATTCCTTCTACTTGTTTATTATTGTTAATAAGATGTCGGAGGAGATGATGGGGGTTGAGATGACGAGGCAAGGTGAGGGAAGATGACATTGGTTCCATCTTATGTTTATCTTCTTCTTCTTCTTCTTCTTCCTTTTCTCCTCCTCCTCCTCCTCCTCCTCCTCCTTCTTCCCTCCATTCTTCGTCTTCCTCCGTCTCATTCTTCCAACTTTCTTCATTTGAGTTGCAATTGGATGACATTATCTCCTTGCGAGTTCTGCATTATCAGCTGACCAGGATCATAGCAAATCTCTTCTTTCAAACCTTTTCTTTTGCTGGTGTTTCGTTGCAGCTATCCCCTTTTCAGAATATCGCAACAGCTGCAAAATGCTGAGTGCACAGGAGGCGGTAGAAGGGGAAGCTAGGCTTTTCATTGGAGAAGGATGTAGGAACTCAGCAATCATCATACGGAGAACTGGCATTCCCTGTCCTTGAGAACAACACAAAGAACTCAGGGTTCAGACACAGAGTTAAGTGCTATTGTAGTATTGAATTCATTGTGATCCCGATTTTATCATTTGTATCGCATCATGAGCACTGACCCGTGACCACAATCAAATAATAGACTCAAGGCCCCTACCCCTCTTGCTCCTACGTCATTGTCATCAACATCTGGAGTGAGGAGGAGATCTTGGGTGGCGAGCAGGAGCACGAGGGTGATGAAGGACACCTCCATGCGTACACAGGAGGGAAGGAGGAGAGAGTTGCTTGGCTATGGAGGGAGGTAGTAGACAGGCACACCGGGCCTGAGGTAGGTGAAAGAGGTGTAGTAATGATGAAGAGGAGCAAGGAGGCGGGAATGACGAAGGAGATTTACATTTCGCTATGGAGTATCTTCATCTTATCCTCATTGCCACTGCATCAAGAAGGCCCTTGTTGAGGCACCAGCTGGACTTCATCCAGGAGAGTAGCTATGCTAGTAGGAGATGAGAGACTGCGCGGTTGTAGTGTGTTCTCTTTCTTTGCACGTCTGTGCTAGGCATGGAGGGAACCGACATAGCTAGAGAAATCATGACGCGATGAGAGGGAGAAGGCCAAGGGAGAGCTTTTTAAGTGCTGGCAGTAACAGGGACCATTAGGACATTGATTCTAGTCCATTCATCCATTCATCGTCGTATTTAACTGTTAATAATATAACAGGACATGACATTATGTGAGAGGAGATGATGATGGTGAGACGAGGAGGGAGGCAGAATTGATCCAATGTTGCTGTGTTTCTCTTCTTTTTCGTCTTTCTTTCTTCATTCTCCTTCGTCCTTGAACTGAGAAGACCGCATCAAAGATCGAAGAATATGTTCTCCGTAACGACTGACTCACAATTTCTTTTCGACTTTCAAAAGCTGTTAATCAAACCTTCTGGTTCTATCTGTTGTGATGAGAATGATGTGTCTGACTCTGTCTTCTTTGCATACATCATTCATACGGCTTGTGACCGCTCGTCCACTAGTCTTCAGTTGTCACGTATCACATTGCATCGAAGTTGTCTTGTAGTATGAAGTGAGCAGGATCACAGCCAGTTCATACATCCACTGCCATTCTAGCAAGATCGCTGGTTCTACTCCATGCAATGTTGCTGCAGACCCAACATTCGTCAGGATGTTCAGTGATGGCCATGGACAGGTTCTAGCCAACTGGCAGAGGCAAGGCATGGCCAGGTTCAGGCCCCTAGCAAATACAATCAGTAGTAAGGATTTGTCCAGACAGTGTTGAGAGATATCCTCGCCTTATCAGTTATTTTCACTAAAAGTAAAAAGACCAAAAAAGATCAACAATTACAGTTGAGGACAATGAACTCAGGTATTTACGAACAATGGCAAGTGACATACATGCAAATTGCTGTGCATTGAAATGCCCCTTTCTACACTATGTGACAGTCTGTTTGGGTCAGCAGCTTCAGTCTTGGAATGGGGCTTGGACACTGCAAAAGGAGGGCCAGGTTCAGACCCCCTCCTGACCCTGGCCCCCCTGCAGACAGGTGCAGACGCGCATACGGAACCGTGCTCATGATGACGGGGAAAGGAGGAAGGTTTGTCCGCGCCGGGGAAAGGAGGAAGGTTTGTCCGCGCCGGGCGAAGGGGGAGGAGGTTAGGTGAAGAAGGTGACAGCCAACCCAGAGGAGATAGGAGTAACTCTGACCTTACAGCAACAGCATCTGGGCAGAGAAGAAGGAAGCGATCAACAAACTCGGCAAATGTTCGCCTTGTAGGAAATCCTGCACAGCTGATCCGAACTGCCTCCAGGACACCCTGCCATAGTAGAGATAAGCTATGAGGTCAGTGGTTTTCGTTCTTTGCTTTTACACTATGATCCTGCTCCCTTCATACTGCAAGACTCCGCTTTGAGACAACACCACACCTCGTAACTCAAGAGAACTGGAGTTAAACCAGGTGAGGAGGGGAAAAAAGGAAGAAGAAGAAGAGGAAGAGGAAGAAGAGGAAGAAGAAGAAGAAGAAGAAGAACAAAGAGGAAGAAGAAAGAGGAAGAAGAAGAAAGAGGGAGAAGAAGAAGGTGAGGAAGAAGAAGAAAGAGGGAGAAGAAGAAGGTGAGGAAGAAGAAGAAGGTGAGGAAGAAGAAGAAAGAGGGAGAAGAAGAAGGTGAGGAAGAAGAAGAAAGAGGGAGAAGAAGAGAAGAAGAAGGTGAGGAAGAAGAAGAGAAGAAGAAGGTGAGGAAGAAGAGGAGAAGAAGAAGGTGAGGAAGAAGAAGAGAAGAAGTAGGTGAGGAAGAAGAAGAGGGAAGAAGAAGAAGAAGAAGAGGGAAGAAGAAGAGGGAAGAAGGAGAAGAAGAAGAAGGAGAAGAAGAAGAAGAAGAAGAAGAAGAAGAAGAAGAAGAAGAAGAAGGATGAGGAAGAGAAGAGGAGGAGGAATAGGAAGAAGAGGAGGAGGAAGAGGAAGAAGAGGAGGAGGAGGAGGAGGAAGAGGAGGAAGAAGAGGAGGAGGAGGAGGAGGAGGAGGAGAGGAAGAAGGAGACGAAGAAGAAGAGGAAGAAGAAGGACCGAAGGCGTCGTTTGAAGAAGAGGAAGAAGGAGAGGAAGAAGAAGAAGAAGAAGAAGAAGAAGAAGAAGAAGAAGAAGAAATCATAAGATGAGATCATGAAAAGCATACTACAAGTAGAGAGTAGAATTAACACCATAGATTCAAAAGCATTCAAAGTTTCTTGTAATCGAAACACAAGAAGAAGGAGAAGGAGAAGGAGGAGGAGGAGGAGGAGGAGGAGAAGGAGGAGGAGGAGGAGGAGAAGGAGGAGGAGGAGGAGAAGAAAGGAGGAGGAGGAGGAGGAGGAGGAGGAGGAGAAGAAGAAGAAGACGACGACGAAGAAGACGACGACGACGACAACGACGACGACGAAGAAGAAGAAGAAGAAGAAGAAGAAGAAGAAGAAGAAGGAATGAATGAATGAATGAATGAATGAACCAATGTCATCCACTCCTCTCGCCATTATCTTCAACCCTCACATAATAGCCACCAAGAAGAAGAAGAAGAAGTAGAAGAAGAAGAATGAATGAATGAATGAACCCATGTCATCCACTCCTCTCGCCATTATCTTCAACCCTCACATAAAGCCACCCTCCCTCGTTAGTATAAAAAATTATTACATACAAATAGTGTAGGACTGAATGGACAAAAATTTCTGTCGAAAGACAATTCCTACAGTACTCATTCGCAAATTTGTGCAAAAAGATAACCAATAGTCCGCTTAGTGTAAAAAAATGAAACCCCGATTGACTTCTTTGGAAAGTTCATTCAAGCATTTTCAACTGAAAGACACGCAGAACGTGAGGCTTTAGAAGTTTAGAGTTTTTGGTATTGCTCACACTGCATCGCAGCTGTTGAAGGACGAATCCGAAATCAAACTGCTGGGCCAATTGCTCTGTGTTTGGCTTTACACATCTGACATAATGAGGCTGGGTAGTGCTCAACGTCTCCATGAGTGCCTGCAATTGGAGCTGGAGAAACAGAGGAGGAGATCAAAGTCAACAAACAGTTCAGTTAGTTCTAAGGACATCATCCATTCATCAATGGCTGCATGGCGTGCATAATCCAGCGGACTTACCTCAATAGTCCACAGGCCATACCCAACTCCATATCCCTTTGAAAAGAAGGGCAGGTAGCCCCTTACCTTTCTCTGCCTTTTGGCCAAAAATAGATCAAGTGTAGTATCTGTTCTGATCATTCTAATATGTGATCCGTGGCCCATCGGGCCACATGGTATTAAATTATTCTTTTCAGACGGGTAAGCTTGCCTACTCCACCCCTCCAGCGTTGCCTCTGTATTCCACTGCTCCAGAGCACGACACAGCCCTCCCCCCTCTAAGGGGGGGGGGGGGGGAAGAGACATTGTTTTATCCATCTGATTTCATCAGGATTTGAACTCACGCACTGCTCATATAAACAGTTACATGTCGGTAGACTCGGTACCATGCAGGCACATGGGTTGGGTGATATTCGGAGGTAACTAAACAGTGCTTGAGTAACATAAACGCAACCACATCGTTGGGTTAATTTGATTATCTTTTCCTTTTCTTTGTGAACCCTAAAATGAAAGGCCTGTTTTTTTTTCTTGGGGGGGGAGGCAATATATATATATATCGTCACAAATAGAACTGCCCGGTAAACCGTAGGCAGAGAGAGAGAAGAGGACAACAAACGAGGGGCTGTGACATATATTTTAAAGGGGCTAAAGGGGTCTTAAGGGGGGTGCCTTTGTGTGATTCTGTTATTCGCTTTTCTCCGATTCTGTGAGGAACGATTCTGTGAGGAATTATAATGTGACCTTTTTTACCTCCGATTCTGTGAGGAATTATAATGTGACCCTCAGACAGAGGTCGTTTGTATTTCAATCCTACACAACATTTTTTTTTCTGGAATTGTTTGATTTTTTTTTCCCCGGCCGCCCGGAAAAACAGCCTATGCTACACACACAGCGTCAGAGCTCCCTGGAACTTCGGGAGCTCGCACCAGTCTCACACTACATGTGGAAAAGAGCTACCCCCCCCCC